AATATTAAATTTTACCCTTTTTGATCCGAGGAAATGCACATATTTATTGTCTTAAATTTCCCGCTGAATGCTTTTATATACACATTGTTATTTATTGCACACTGCGCTAGCCAAATGTGTCACTCAAGTTTGATAAACTTACCTGTAATCGGCGGTACTGTTAATTACTTCCGGTTAAGTTTTAAATATTTCCACATTTCCTTTAGTTTTTTTAACTTGGGAGTTAAGATTCAACAAATATTTTCGCGTGTTGCAATCTGAATGTAGAACTATTGTCAGTAAAATCATTCTTGTAATGTGATTGTAGTTTTTTGTATCAGTTTAATGACGAGAGGTACTTAAATAAACTCGACTTTAAGGAAATATCACGGAAGTACTGAGAAAAAAGTACTGTTACGAAACTAAATGTACTTTAAATCTGCGATAATGTTGCAGATTCGTCTGCACTGCTGTCGTTAAAGACGCAACTTGTATTTGAAATTCCGTTAAACCTCATAAAATTTTATTATTCGATACCTTAATGGCCGATTTAGGATGTAAACTAGCAGTGAAGTCATAAAATATTTTATATCTTTATGTAACGCAGCAATACTGTAAATGTGAATATTGGTACAAAGACAGGATTTATAGGAATATAATTTTTCTGTCATAGGGCAAGCCCATTTTTCTTGTACTGGTGCTTCAACAATCTCGTACGAAAATGGGGTAGTATGGCGCGAAAATGCAAAAACATAATTGGAAAAAATCCTTAAGCCTTAGCAAATTTAACAAGCTTTGAAATCAAAATCACGTATTTTAGTTAGTTCCAAGTCAATTTGCAATAACGGGAAATTCTGGTACAGCATTGCATGCAAATTTAGTAATTTGGAAGGTATTACAGAAACTTTATCGCTAATCCACTTATTTTAAAGGGTATTACTATATCTAATTGAAACCAACGTTTTTACGTTTATTAGTACGAAGCTTTGGAAAGGACATATACAAAGATTTTTTATAATTCCCAGTTGTAACTGTAAATTATACTAATTCTCAGTTGTAACTGTAAATTAGTACTAATTCCCAGTTGTAACTGGGAATTAGCACTAATTCCCAGTTGTAACTGGGAATTAGCACTAATTCCCAGTTGTAACTGTAAATTAGCACTAATTCCCAGTTTTACACTTACAACTGGGAATTATAAAAAATCTTCGACACATTTATAATTCCCAGTTGTAACTGGGAATGAAGAAGAGTAGGTACCAGAGACACAAGAATTGAATCGTAAATGTTCGTTAATGCATGTATTTTAGATCGATGAAGCAAGAGTGCCACCACTCATGCGTGTATATTAGGTCGCTGTTGTGTAGGCGCTTAATTCCACCACACATAAATAACGATTCTTCTTTTTCTCTCAAGATTCTTTCATTAAATTTGTTAAATACGCCATAACTGACCATTAAGTCATGGGATTTTAAAAATGTTTTTAATGAAAAATAGTAATAGAAAATTAAAACTAATAAAATTTGAAATTTTGTTTACAAACTTTTTCAATCGCAGTGAAACAAAAGTTTGTGGTCACCAAATACAAATTTTAAAATTCCAAATTTTTTTAAACAAAATGGTTGATTTTTTAGTAATTTGCTGCGTTTTTTTATGCCGAAGCGCCTGTTACTAGAAGTATTGTGAATTCAATCTTAAATGGTCAATTTTGTCACTTTTTTTGAGAGGCGTGTCACCTCAAAAAACGCGAAAAACTAAATGTATCGATAACATTTTGCAATCTTTAGTCAATTTATTGTTGTTTATATATTGATATTTTCGCGATTTTGTAAAAACGAACCCCATGAATTTTGTATAAATTTTCAGGAAGGTACGTGTTTTATTTTTGGAGAATTAATAAGGTTAGATGTTCATTTTAAATATTCAATCAATAAAGCATTTATCTAATTTTATAAAAATTCGAACTTAAAAAGCAAACACTATAACCCTGCACATGATAAATGTGTTGTATGAGCTTTAACTTTAACCCTCCGATAAGAGCAGGGTCTCGAGCATGGTATTTGGTATAAAATGGCATTTCTCAGAATTGTTGATAAAAGTAACATTATTATTTCTCCAAAAATAAAACACTCCTGAAATATCGTATCTCATAGAAAAATTTCACATAGTTCATGAGGTATGTTTTCACAAAATCGCGAAAATATCAATAAATTAAGTCTTCCACAATTGTTTGAGATGACGTACCTCTCAAAAAATTGCCACAAAATTAATAAAGTTGTGGTCTAACAAAATACTATGTCATGAAATGTTCAATATTTTGTCGCGATTCTTGCGCAAACCGAAAACCACAATAAAATAACCAAAAATCGCAGTTAGCGATAATTTGAGTTTTCCGCATTTTTTGAGGTGACAAAATTCAAAAGTATTCATTGACAAAATGGGCCATTTAGGATTGAATTCACATTTTAATACAGGTGCTTCAACAAAAGTAAAAAAAACGCAGAAAATAAAAAATCGCGTTTTTCGCATGTTTGGAAATGGCGCCCCTTTCAAAAGATTCTGAAAAAATCATGAAAGTGGTTTTTAAAATAATACACCTTTTTTTTTAAAAAAAAAAATAAAACTGCAGCCATCTTAGTAAAAATGTGGAAGTTTTAAAACTTCAACATTTATTTAGGTTATGTTTCAGATTCTTTCAAGCAACAGTATGCCAGAAAAAAATTAAATCCAAAAAATTCGGTTTTTCGATGGTTTAAAGTGGGAGGGGGATTAGGGTGGTTCTGACAATGCCTAAATTTTTTTCAATAACCCCAATCAAACAAACAATGACAAAGCAAAATCAGTCTTAATGAGTATTTTGATAACTTACACCAATAATTTCAAATTTAAATTTTGTTACTACAGTCATTGAATGCGCAATATTTTTCTCTTCCTATTGATACTATTTATTTTTCTGTAAAATAGATTGGCAAGCAAAAAACCAGCAAAAACGTTTAACTATCCCTATCCCTATGTTCCGACTTTGAATGAACACCTGGTATATCTGTGTAGTAATTACAAATGTTATCCCAATACAAACTTTTGCCTGCTTTCTGCAATAAACAAGATAGGTACAAGTTAAAAAATATTGCCTCTACTTTTAACACTACAATGTTTTGTCAAAAACCTATGGAACGCCGTTTTATTATTTATTCCGACATTTCACAAAGTATCATTTTAAATAACAGTCAATTGTATGTCTCTTCTTTTTACAATTGTTGTTTTTATGTTATTTATTAAATGTGATTGTTTTTAAAATGTTACTTAATAAAAATGTTGCATGAATTAAAATGTTTGTTGATAATTTTAATTGGGCGCTAGTGTACACGTGGCCAAATGGACTAAACGGAAGTTCCTGAAACTCCCGCACAATCTCAGATACGATTTAAAATTATCAACAAACATTTTAATTCATGTAACATTTTAATTCATGTAACATTTTAATTCATGTAACATTTTAATTCAAGTCACATTTTAATTCAAGTAACATTTTAATTTAACAATCACTTTAAATAATTTTTTCTAATGTTAATAGAACGAATTTATATGATTGATGAATTAAAATGTTCGTTGAAAATATTTGTACAACACTTAAATAATTGAATTAATATGATTGTTGAATTAAAATGTTTGTTGAATTAAAATGTTGTTTGATAATTTTAATTCCACATTAAAAATGGATGAATCTTTATGTTTGTTGAACAAAATCGTTTTCTTAATGGAAGTATTTCCTCCAATTCAATTTAATTTTTTGTTATTAATTATTTGTTGAGAATAAAGTCAAATGCATTCCACCCATATAACAATATAATTCATGCAACATTTTTATTAAGTAACATTTTTTAAACAATCATATTTAATGTGTTAGATAAAAAGAACAAACAAAAAATAGTAGAGAATAAGAATGACTGTTATTTAAAATGATACATTGTAAAATGTTGGAATAAATAGTAAAACGGCGTTCCATAAAAACCCATTGACATGCAAGTAAATATTGGTGCAATAAATATACCAGATTCACTTAGAAACTAGGTTCTGAATATCTATGTAAAGAAAGGGCCAACGAACACCAACCAATGAGATTTGGTGAATAATACAAAATGTTTGTTGTATGCGATACCTATGGAAGGTAAACTAAATACATCGCTTGTTCGTTAGCTGAACCCCCACACTTCCTTTGTCAATTTCCGCCATATCTTTTGATGTTAGTAATGGGTTGGAAACAAGAGCTAGGTCCAGCTCTTAAAAAAATATCGATTACTTACCAATTACTTTTTCGGCTAATAAAGTTTTAATGAAAAAGTAATCGGGATTCCAGAGCCCTTTAAAAAGTAATTGAAATGTAATGTAATTTATTTATACATTTCTCGATTTGTGTAGGTATCAAACGTTTAGTTTCGGAACAGATATAAACTATGTTCACTCTGTAAATTAATTTATTAGTTGGTAATACTCATAATAAGTAATTAATTGTAGCTTTACATTTTCTGTAATACGAGTCATAGTCCCAGTTAATCCCCTAAATAAAAAGTAAATTTAAGGTTTTACTCTCAGTTTAGTAGTAATTTTAAAAAGACCGCTCATTGAAATACCTTGTATTATTGTAGTAAGTTGCACTTTACGCTAAAATTTTAGAACTTAAATGGCGGTCAAGTAAGCCCCCTTTATTAAACGCCCTAGAGTTTTTAAAACACTCAGCATGCCTGCAGTCGCTTAAGATGGACTGCTTGTATATTATGTACCTATACTGTGATATGATAATTAATATGACGAGATTGGTTTTTTTTTAAGTATCATACTATGATTGTGAGTCTTTGATATTTTACTCGCTTAAAACAATATAATTTGTACCTGTACGCCTATGTGTAGAATAAAATAGATTTAAACGCGCGCCTATGTTGTGCGTTCTTGCGAGCGCTAGGGCGTTGCGCTTGCGTCCTCATCCTCACAAAAATTGGAGGTATAACCTGAAAAAGGTAGAGTTTCCTGTTTCGTCATTTTTGAAAATGAGATTAATTATTAATTGCGTCGTTGTTTTACTGTTGTAGTGCATTGCGTTTTTGAGTTTTGCGTTGTAGTGTATATATATTTATAATATTTGCGTCGTCGTAATAATATAAGAAAACACAGTGTAGTTGGATTGTACTTATCTAGTTAGGTATCTAACTGATTGCTTAGTTAGTTAGAACATCTTGGTCAGGTAAGGGTTGGATTCGTTTTTTTGTGCACCCTTGTTTATAGGTGGGCCATCTTGGGGACAGTGCATCCCATCCCGGCGATGTAGGTCCCGGCGACGTACACCCCGGCACCAATTTTCCGGCTTCAAGCCATCCCGGCGAACATTACCATACCGGCATCGATCATCCCGACGATTTATACCCGGCGACGACCCATTCCGGCGATGACCCATCCCGGCGACGGCCCATCCCGTTAGATTACACAATTTGTAAACCGTGCAGTAATTAGTTCAAATTCTTCCTGTAGTTATTCTCCAACATGGTAAGGGCGTGTACGATGTCTTCAAGTACAAATGCTACGGAAGCACTCATTCCCTCAGCGTGCTAAAATGACACCGCTTGCGCTTGGGGATGGATGGATCTATAGAAAATTTTTTACAGGATTGAAAAGAAACACTCAAAAGAATTTTCTTGACCTTAAGTTTATTTTTCATTCCCGATATGACCCAATTTTTGCCATCTTACCTGTAACACCCTTTATGAGAAAAATTACGTTACTTTTTTATTATAGATGGACGAGCTTCAGAACTTAGATTTAGAGCAGTTTCTCAGGACTAGAGGAGTTTCAGAGGAGATAATAAGTAAATTCAAATCGGAAAATGTAATTGAACAATCACATGAAAACAATTGACTTTTAGTTTATAATTTTAGATTGATATTGTGGCTGTGCAGGTAATGCATGAAGATGAATTTAAAGAACTTATTCCGAAGAGCGGGGACAGAGCAGCCCTTAAAGAATTTAGTAGACGAAAATTAGCACCCAGGAAACAAAGTTTAATTGAAAAATTAAAAGATAAAATAGCAAAAGCGAATAATACAAATCTAGCTCAAACTCCAACCTTAAAACATAAAAGAAAAGCAACAAGAGTTGTACAAGTTGGATGGATGAATTTTAATGAGCAGAATAAAAAGTTTCAGCAAGTTAGGCTTAATAAAGGAGGAGGAACTAGAAGTATAAGTGTTGATAGAGATTGCCAGGTGAAAATGATTTTAGAAAAAGCGATTGAGATATTTTTTCCTAATGGAATTTCTCCCAGTGGACCGGTAAATAGTTTTGAGTTCAAACTACTTGATTTTAAACAACATGAAATAGACCACAATATGAGAATTCAAGACATGTTTGAAGTTACTGGTTTAAGTAAATTAAGGTTTTATTTGGCAAGCACCAGTTCCAAAATTTGGTGTAGTTCGACTAACAATAATATACCGTCTTCTTCATTGCCAATAACAGTAGGTAAGCTTAAAATACAAGGAAGTTTTTAGGAAGGAAACTGTTACAAGTTAACACAAACTTTCATTTAACATACTATATGTATTTTTGAGGGCATGTGATTTTGATTTGCCAAACCTAATTAGGTTCCATAACTTGCAACTCATTTTATTGTTTTATTGCTAGTGTTGTAAGTAATTATTGTATCTAGTATTTCTCTAAAAAAATCTTTGTGATAAAGTTTTATTTGTGATTAATGTTGTCACCTAATGTTAATATTGTTTATTTTTAATATTTGCATTGGGGAAGTGAGTGGTATGCCAGTTAATTTGAGCAAATCATAATATTGTGAAATTTCAAAACCTTCACTTTTTCTTGTTTTTATCGG